ATGAAATATTTTATAATATTGTATTTTATTATATTATTACTAGAGCAATTATATAAATTGGTATATAAACAATTCACACGGTGTCATCTAGTCCCTAGTCTAAGCAGAGATGAGTTATGAATGGATACAAATGTATATAGTACTATTATTTTTTGTAAATATTTACGTAATATTAATAGAAAATACCCAGATCAATACCAACAAACGTACTAATGAATACAAATGTTTGTATCGTGTGAGATTGAACCCTGTGACCAACGGAAGTAAGACGGTGTGCTAAAGTGCCACACCGCCAAAGTCGTGACCCCATACCAATATTATAAATGCGAAACTATGTCTGTCTATTCGATTCTTACTTTTTCACGATTAAATGAATTCACTCACTCTATTTTTATCCCAAAAAATATTCTGAAAAATTCCAAAAACGTATGCGTATATGTATTATTTATTAGATTAATTTATAGAGCTATTACCCAACTCTAAAATTAATCTAATAAATAATTTTACAATAAAATATACTAAAACAAAGGCGTTTACAACAAAAAAATTTCCTTGTGAATAGCTATAATAGGTAAGCTATTTTACGTCCACTGACAAATTTTCTCGTCGTCTATGTTCGTTGTAGAGGGTACGAAACTTCTCTTTATCTTTCCAATGAAGTAGTTGTACGTGCTTCCGGAGAACACAGCTGTCTTCATTGTGTTCCACAATCTTCCAAATAATTACATACTACTTTACAAACTCCACATTCACTGTGATGATAGCTAGCTGTTAGCCAGAAGTATTCCAAAGAAAATAACCAAAATTGTGTTCTTATGTACACAATTAGGCTATGCCTGGCTGTGAACAAAATCCAGTCTTACATGAAAATTCTATGACAGGATATTTCAACATAAATAAATTTCTTTAGAGTTAATAATAAGTAAATTATTATTATATCAATGGCAATTCATTATTATTAGTTATTTTGTGAATAAAACTCCAATTTCATTTGTTTGAAGCACTATATTCGTAATAATCATAGATTTTCACTTGCACGTTGAAATATTTCACATTTAAGTGTTACAATTGTTTTATTATAACTAATGTATGCAAAATATACAGGAACACCCAACCCTCATAGACGGTGTAGGGTGCATACAAATGTACTTTCACAGCTATATTCAGATTATATTTACAGTAGAATTTTAGATTTTTTGAGAGACAGTGATCATTTTTATATGTTAGGCAAAGTTGAAATCAAATGGTAAAACTTGTATAATTAAATAACAATATAGGTAAATATATATTTATCTTCATATTGAATCCTCTTACGGATTGAACTGAACTAATTAAGTGCGGAATGATTGGGAATAAGAAAAGTCAACAATTACGTCATAAATAATGCATGCCTACATGTCGTTTAAATCAGTGTTTATTAATTTTGCTTGATACTTTTGTACAAAGCGTGTCTACGCAAATTGTACGAGTGTGTATTGTGATTAGTTTTCACAACATTCAGATGACGAGTTGAGTTCTGAGAAACAAGTTACGTGATTCGAATACACCTCCTTTTAATTTAAATATTTTATGCATTAGACTCTATCCTTTTATACACATATATTTTTATCGTCAATGGAATTTGTTTATTCTTTCCTTATTATCTCGTTACCTCGTAACGCAATTGTAGTACCTAAATAATACCTTTATTAATAATATTATCTCAATATATATTTCATATACTGTCATTTATCGTAAAATTTTAATTTTTTAGCTACTACACATCTGTTCTTATATATTTTTATAAATTAGTTCATCAACACAGAACTTTTAAAATTAAACCTACAATATAATTTTCGGTTTATTGTTTGAAAGAAGTAATATTTAATCAGGAGTATTAAATATTAGTATTATTACTTTGATATCTATAACATAATGTTTATTTCTATGCTGAAATTTGTCTATGTTTCATTCTTCATGATGTTTAGTATCTACGTCTACTTCAGAATTGTATATGGAAATACGAAAATATTGCTAATGTTACTTCGTAGCACGTAGCAAAGGCTACGTGGAGGAGCGCCATCTGTTGTTAGCTTAGTAAAATATGTGATACCGTTACTGAACTACAAAATACTTTTCATAGAATGTAAAAATCCGATTCGCTGCTAACGACATCTAGTAAGAAAAGTCACTTTTACTAGAGTTATCGTAGCCCTCATGACACAGTAGAAAGTAGTGAAAACATTTCTAGAGGGCACTATATTTATAAAAGTATTAATTAAATCATATTATATAGTAGTATTGACTTTATTTGCTGACACAATATAAGCAGTTAATGTTGTTTCGAAAGTTACAATAGCATAAATTTCAATTAATATTTATGATTACTTTTTTTGATGACATTATTTAATTGGTTATACTTCAAATAATCTGGGCGTCGAGTCGTGAGTAACAATCACAGTTTTATGTTTAATATTTATTTTACACATATAGTAAATTGTAATTAACTATTTGGGATTAAGACATTGTTTTATTATTAAACATATGAGAATAATTGATTGAAACGTAAATTATTTTAGTATTTTATATATAGGAGGATTTTTGTTGTCAGGCATAACTAATGTTATATTCTTCTTAAAATAATATTAGGTATTCTGTAAACTTCCCCAAAAGAAATAAATAAGAAGTTTTATATAACTAAATATAATATTAATTTAATGTAAGACATTAAAATAAATATTTTATATTCGTTTTTGATGTGAGTAAACATTTTTGTTGGTACTCGTATTTGGAACGACTTCTATCAGAATATTAAGAGAGAGTTGGTTTACATCAAGTGATCAAGTCTTTGTTCTTCTGATACATCCATTTTTATTTAGTCTAAATGTGTTGTTGGTAACAAAAAAAAGCTGTAAAAGAGGATTCAAAGAGTCTTATTAAGAAGTTACAGCTAAAAATATAATCTATTAAGGAGCAAAACAGAAGCTATAACGTACAAGCAAGATGAGATTATAAAAACTAATTAAGTACAAGAAATTGATTGTTTATAAATACAGGAGAGCAATGAAAGTTTGCTGTTCAAATTATCATAGAATACTGCTGCTACTAGCATATACATGCTAGCAGTATTCTATGATAAAATGAATTTAAAAAAAAAGTATGGAGTTTATGCGGTAACAAGGAAGATTCACTTGAGTTTGCACTTTAATAATATATTTGATTGCTTCGCTAAATTTAAGAAGTATATGTTGTAATTTATTATCTAGTACTAAATAATGATAAAAATAAATAGAATCACGACATATTGTATTGTTGTATCTTATGATGGTAATTTTTAAACCTAAATAAATATATATAGCAGTATATATACCTACTAACGATTAAATTATTTAATAACAGGAAACACCACACCTGTAGGTTCTGATCTTAAAGGAATAATTTCACTGTTTGCAACTCTTATTTTGTGCTCATTTTCTGGTGACGCAGGACTAGACTCTATTGTTTGACTAGAATATAAAGTATTTTATATCCCTTTTCTTGTAAAATAGTACGTGTATGATACATTTTTAGATGATGGAAGTATCAAATTTTCGTAAGATACAAATATACTCGCATATATCTAATTTCATTCATTTTCGTATTTGTAGTATGCATCAATACATATAAAAATTATATAATAAAAATATTTATACGAACCGATAGCATTATATACAAGCCATTGTACAATACTTGTATTTATATATTATATTAAGATATATTTGTATAATAATGGCGGACTGTTATTCTGGACTTGCGCGGTGACCTAGGCCGTGAATGCAGCTCGGTACTGACGTAACTATACAATAATGAAATATATGAACACTAAGTATCGACGTGAAATTTTCTTCTGTTTAAATAAAACTGAAGCAATTAATTTTAATTAACAACTACTTCACTTTATACTGAACCTTAAATTAAATTTTATGATAACTTAAGTTAATGTTCTTGAAATTACGGCATATTATCTGCGTCACACTGTTGTCGACGACATAAATTATACTACACTATGTTGACATTGGTTAATGGTATTCATATGAAATCTTTATCTTTATTAAAATAAACTTCATTAACTTTATCATACGCGATGTTAAAGTACCCAAAAACTGTCTATGGACGGAATTGGATCATTTATACCATAGTGATAAACGCAAAAATTAATCACGATAATTTTCTGGAAGAATTGCATGGTAGTCTACTGACTAATAAAGTTCAACCTTCCTTATATGTTAAAGATTGTAATATAACTAATTGCTATTTTAACGTTGGAAAAATAAGTCCATTGCTAACAACCCCCAACATTTTATAATGACTAGCTTAATTTTTGCGGAAGTTACTAAATGGTACAAAAAAAGATCAAGATGATAGACAAGAGTATTTTAGTAAGCTAAACAACCTGGCTTATAACGTATTAATAATAATGTTATTATTTAAATTAACCTTCAAAATATTAACATATTTGTTTAATCAACAAATTTATCTGCCGTTATTGTATTTACTGTATCTAAATCCGCCCAACCCTGCAACTGCCGCGGCGGAGTAGTAACGGAGGGGTGCGAGGCGAGGGTCGCCACTAATGTTGCCAGACAGTCACATTTCTTACATTTTTCGTAACTTTTATATATTACTAAACTAAAGTATGTTTGTGATATCGCATTACACTTGAATTGACAATCTCAATACGATCGGGTATTACGTATACCGACTGTCCCCATAAACTTATATTAATTTCAGCAAGTATCACAGTGTTCTTTTCTAAATGCAGCCTGCAACCAAGTCTTGTATAAACTTTCTAATGTAGCTTTGGATATTCGTTCTAGTGTATTCTTCACTCTTATTGTAGTATAGTTATCCATATTTTTTTATAAACTCAATTGTAACTTTTGAAAATAGAATACAGGCAACACAAATCGCCACGCGATCACTTTGCAGCGACTGGCGGGCGGGATGCACGTCACTCGCCTTCGTCCGTCCGCCCGCACCACCCACCCATCCGCTTATACTATAACCTCGTTAGTCTAAGTGACGTAAAGCATTCGCGACTAGCCGTGTATAGTGAACACGTAGACGCTACCCAGTGTCGTGGACCTAATCGGACCCACAGATTATATAGTGATCTCACAAATAAAAGATAACCCTGTAGCTGCATTTATTATTCAGTGACTGCGCTAACCTATAGCCAGGATGGCGCCCTTTACAGGTATGATTCTCGAAGTTGCTGCTAGTTCTTATGATGCTGGAGATTTTTATAATTTTATATAAAAATGTTCTCTTTAATGTACTTCGTGTCACGACACATGTAATATACTTTCTATATACTTCTACAATAACTTTAGCCGGTTACTAAATAACCGTAGATAAAGAACAAGTGCATTCTGTGGCTAGATAAATTGCATAACACAGCTAAAAATTTAAAGTTTATCTTAGTTTCATAATTTTAGATACTCTGAATATAAGTTTCTTATTTTTAAGTCAACCCAAATAAGTTATAAAAATTATATCTACCAAACAAAACAGATTTATTCTCAAATTTTAGATATACCTACGAATGTTATTTATGTAGCTACCTATTTTTAAAATATATCAAGCTGTACTAATAAATATTATAGTAACAAATGAAGTTAGAACGTTAGATATCGCGTCAAAATGTCTAGCGTTCTAACTTTATTCAAATTCAAAATATAGTAACTACTAAAACTCTTACCTTTTTGTAGGTCGCTTGAGAGCGGCTGTTTAAAGTGTTTAATTAGGAGTGTAATGAGTTTCTTGCAATTAATTCTATAATTTTATAAATGAATAAATTAATTTTAACATTGTTATCCTTCTTTTGTCTCATTATTCGAGTTCGGATATTTTGTAATCAACCGGTAACAATTCTGATATTCTTAAGTACTTTTTTTATTTAGAAATCTATTGTTATTAATTTTTGTTCATATTATCAGTACGCGGTTACCGTTGCCTATATGTATATTAATAAGGACTACGTACTACGGATATCAATAGAATTAATATGTCATGCTCTTATTCTGTAATTTCACTCCCTAATTGGATCTTACAAATGAAATGTAGCTGTAGTAGTAAGCTGTTTGACGGCTGAAATAGAGACTGAGGTACCCATGCAGACAATCTATCTCAATATGTGCAAAAGTAATAAACCTATGCATACTGTAATTTATTTTAGGTAGCTATGTTCCATTGTTTGTTGTTATTGAATTGTCCAATGCATTCGTCATTTTTCAGTAGGTATAATTCAATTTAATGTACTTTACAGCACACAATCAATTTTGACATAATTATTCCATGGAAGTCTTTATGAACTCTATATTTTATTATAGTACATATATAAAAACGAATATAAAAGCTAAAAATAGGTATGCATTACTCTTGAGACTTGGTTGGCAGAATGATTGCAGCAAACTACATTCGAATAATTTGTGATACAAAAATAACACAAAAATATACACTGTGTAAGTATGTAGTATACTTACATAGTAGCTTATAAGGACGTATACTATGTTTATAGCATAGAATACCTATTCTGCTTATACTACTGGTTTCATTTGCATACTGTCACCACGCGATGTATTACCCGCGAGTTTGTCCGTGTATAGAGTTGATGGAATGGAACTTTTTTTTCATATATTTTAATATAATTTTTAAAATTGTTATAAAGAAAACAATGGCTATAATGATTGTTCCATCAAAATCGTCCAGTCCATTCAGAGGTCCAAGAAGAAACTGACAGAGACGAAAATATTTTAGAAAGATTTTTTGATGTAAGTAATGTATATATACTTTCATACGCATTTTATGAAATGCTGTTACTTTGAAATTACAAACAGGCCCTTAAATTTTATTTATTTGTATAGATTTGTCTGAATTTGTTTTGTTAGCATTTGATATTGGTTCGTTACTCCGCCAATAACCTCTTCTAAAATATATAACTCGTTATACTAATTCAAATTAAGTAACTAAGTAGATGGAATAGTAAATTATGAAGGTCCATTATCGAGTTATGTTACTGGTGAATAGAATCGATAGTAAAATGTATATTTTTGTTTTAGCATGTGTTTTACATCGAAATGAAATCTATAATCTTGGACATCTCTCTTATAGAATAAGATAAAATTAGAACAAAATATAGGGTATCTAATGTCCAAAATCACCTCTAATAAGATATTATTTCTTGGTAAATTACCCGAGATTCATTTTAACGCGATGCTGTTGTGAAACTCAATGCCGGGTCGGTACAAAGGGATCTGAGTTTTTATTACACGGAATAATAATAATAAAGAAGAGATATATATGTTATATATTTATTTTATACAATGAATCAGCTTAACGCGGTATATATGAACATCAGCACTATATCGTGTACAAGATTTACTGTATACTGTTTTCCCTTTATGAGACCGCAGTCAAGGCAATATTTGTACCTAATTCAAGCTACATGATATAACAGAAGTATTTTCATCGTTCTGGAAAGATTAGATGCACTATGTAATATTATCTTACATATGGTTGCACGTTCATTTATCTATGATAACCGATGTAACGGAAGGGATCAATGGTAACATTGGTAACGTATATACGTAACTACATATATACGTTACCATTGATCTCGCTTGTTTGCTTTAAGAAGAATATTTTTATAAACTGTTTTGTATAAGGAAATAAAAGGAGGCCAATTGAAAAAAATCTCGTCATATTGTATACAATTTTTAATTGACAAAATACAAATAAGAAATAATAATAAAAATTTTGCAAAAATGTATATTCTAAAAAAACATTAATGATAATACTAAATACCTACTAACAAAATTACCACAAATATGAATTTGAAAGATAATTGTATAAAGAAGTTGGAAGTATAGTACCTAGATTTAGTAATTGATTACATACTTTGATTAAATAAATATATTTTATATATTATTTACTTTGATATATTTTGAAAAAAAAAATACTTTGATGGAATGATGATGATTTCTCCTTTTAATTTGTATAATAAAACTAAAGTCATATGTAAAAAAAATGTCCGATCGTTTTCATTACAATATATAAAAGGTATATAATCATTACATAATATAGAACAAAGTCGCTGTCGCTGTCTGTCCCTGTGAATGCATAAATATTTAAAACCACGCCACGGATTTTGATGCGTTTTTTTTAATAGAGTGATTCAGGAGATAGGTTTATATATATAATACATGTATACCCATGCGAAACCGAGGCGAGTAGCTAGTAAATAATAAAATCAAACTAGATAAAAGTGAATTGTTTCCTGTACATTGCAAAAACCCTGAAAAGGGATTGAAGTTAAAAATAAATTAATGTTTGAACTCCGTCTATTTGTATTGTAAGTTAACATTTTAGGTTAATGTTAAAAAAGAAGATAACTAGATCTACTTTATTCACCAAGTTTACAATTATTATTAATAATTTTATACGAGGTGTTAATTTTTATAGGAAAATATAATGCAATATTGAAATACTATTGATAATAACAGTGGCTGAACATATTATATGAATTCGAGGGACACAGGGGGACACTGACAAAAATAAAATGGAATAAGTTACTGACTAGTTAATGTTACATGTACTAACTTTATGAGAAAAGTATTTTCAGTACAATCCTAAATTGTTAGGACAATAAAGTGACTACTTTAGTACAGGGGACTAAATGAAAAATTTCAGAAGAGGTGCCAATTCTGGGTCAGTATATAACCCGGCACTCAAACTCAAGTGTAATAGTAACGATTTGTTGTAGTATGCGTAGTCAACATACTGTGCTAGCTTGAACTAGCTTCTTATAGCATATGATAGCTACCCAAACGAATCAAACTAAAGGCCTCCTACCAATACATTGAAAAGAAAAAAGCATGTTCTAATATCTGCACTATGGTGGATGCTGTAGGTATAAATTTCCATTCCCACCGAGATTTCACTTATCTCTTAGATAAAATTGTATTTTGTGCTTTTCCCGTGATTTCATTTTATTCTGACAGCTTTCATTTCCATTTCATGGCTTAAATAATACAGAACTAGGTCATATATCCAACACACCGCCGTTATTGTTGCTGTAGTAATAAAAATGGTTTATATTTTCAACCGTTTTATTCTATTTTAAATAATATATTTCTTTATACATTCTTAAATATAAACATTTTGTAGATCATACAACAAACTAAAACATACATACCGTTACGACTGTTAACCCGAATAGGGTAGTCAGAGGTGTAATGTAGTGTGTACCTTATGGGAGCTGGTCTGCTCTAATAAGTAATGGAATTATTGTATTTATTTACTTTGTCAATTTCGATGTTTAGCAGCATATATTCGCACAATATAAAAATGTGTTTTAATATCGGTATTTCTTTCACCGAGGAGTTAGTCAAAAATATAAATTAAAATATTTTTTTTTTTTATGTTGAACAGATTTGTTCTCAGAACGTCCGAGCAGAGTGAACGACTAGGCCACGACGTTCTCAGGTTTTTTAGGTCATATATGTATTTTGTTATTGTAGAAAAAGAAATAAGACAAAAAGGCATGAACTATGTGTGCCGTATAAACAAGAGGGCTATCTGGGACCTTATCTTATTTTCAACATATACGGTGTAATGCAGAATGTAGACAATATTTATGATTTTCTATCAGGCAGGCTGCCAGAAACTTAAACTACTTGTATGTATGGCTGTATTACTTATTATTTATATCGAGGTAGACTTTGTAAAAAGTTAGCTGCATGGGTATTCTGTATCTATTTTAACTGTCATGAAGCTTGCTTTGTAAGCTGTGATTAGTTTGAAGGGTGAGATAAGATGAAATTACAGGGTAAGAGGCATGACATCTTAGTCTGCTGGAATGGCAACGCATGAGTGGTATCGTGAGCGTTACATAATAACCTGATGACCGTAGTGCTGTCCATGTATACAGATATCACTTACCCTCAGCCGGGCTATCAGTGTCAATCATTCTGGTATCAGATCGCATATCAGTTAAAGTAATTCCAATTATATAAAAAGTAATGTTTTATATTATGTGTACATTTCCTAAATTAACTAAAAGGGTCAAAGCGTTAGCCACTGTATCAATCAACTAGTTTATTATTATCCAACAGAAGCTATATAGTGATTGTAAACAAGCTTCAGGGTGGAGAGTAGTGAAAGGGCCATCGTAGGCCGTAAGCGCTATTTACGTGT